GTCTAGGGTTCGGATGGCCATTTGTTTGCTTGTTGGCGGTGCCCTCCCCGCTACACTCTCCCCCTTTACCTGCAACCTGCAAGCACTCACAAAGCGCAACCGGTTGCGCTATGTATATTCCTGCAAACACACAGCAGTAATAAGTAAGTGTCTTCCAGGTGCTTGCAACCTGCAAGCACTCACAAAGCGCAACCGGTTGCGCTATGTATATTCCTGCAAGCACACAGCAGTAATAAGTAAGTGTCTTCCAGGTGCTTGCAACCTGCAAGCACTCACAAAGAGCAACCGGTTGCGCTATGTATATTCCTGCAAGCACACAGCCGTAAGTGTCTTCCAGGTGCTTGCAACCTGCAAGCACTCACAAAGCGCAACCGGTTGCGCTATGTATATTCCTGCAAGCACACAGCAGTAATAAGTAAGTGTCTTCCAGGTGCTTGCAACCTTCCGGCACCGTACCCAGAGTGATCATGGATCATGGATCATGTAATTGGGTTGCTGCGTTTGGAAGCGGCTAGATGCTCCCAAGCTCCCGGCCAGGGCAGAAGATTGCGACAGCCCACCAGCCTGGCACTGGCAGCTAGTGCAAGGCCAGACACTAGGTCCCACACCAGCTGCCCTATGCATCTTCCTGCAAGCACACACAAACCGCAACCGGTTGCACTATGTGTATTCCTGCAACCACCCCGACACCGGACTGCAGGATCCCACAACCTTCCTGCGCTCACAATCATCATGTAGCATGTATGGACTGCTGAGTCTGAGGCAGCAATATCCCATCATGAATGTTCTACTTCTCGCCTGTCAAAGCAACCCAAGCCTGCCCTGAGGCTGGGAAGGGTGTTCGGAGTGGGTGCAATAGTGCTGAAACATGCACTTACTACTCAACCTGGATCCACAAAAGGGGCAGCCATTTGCTTGCTTCTTGGGCGTTCTCTCCCCCAAAGCTTACTTGTGCTTGTGCTGCCCCGGCCCCTGCCTTGGAGTTCCGCTGCTGCAGGCCCCTGCCCCCGGAAAGACCTGCAGAGCCACCGACTTCTCAAAAGACATGAAGGCGGGCCGTTTTAGGGCTTTGCAACTTTAGTTTACAAGAGCATTCTTGTTTGGCTGGAGATTAGAGATTGTGTTTGGAATGGTTTGGGAGGATGATGTTTTCTAGTTCCAGGAATTCTGACAGGTGATTTGCAAGAAATTATGATTGCAAACCAGTTCCTGCTCACCTGTCGTCCCCACACAGAAACAAACGGCTTGCGCCGAAAGGTGCAGCCTGAAAGGCAAGGTTCCTTAGAATTGCAAACAGTTCCTACTCTCTGCCAGTGACCCTCTGAAACCGTTGAGGCTCGAGTGCAGGGCTCATACAGTGGGTCACCGAAACACAAGCAGTATAGGTGCAATAGAGAAATCTTAAAGGAGAGGAATTCCACTGAAGGGCTTCTATGTACAGGTGCAGCCAAAAAAACCTGACACACTAGGTCACCGAAACACGAGCTGCCATGGACCCGCGGTCTGCTCTGAAGTCAAAAGCAAAGCCGACGGAGCCACCTGCACCTTGGCTGGATGCGCAGCGGACCTCAGAGCAGCAGCCGGCTGAGATGCTTCAGACTGCTCTGCAGGCGAAAGCACAGCCGACGGAGCCAGCTGCACGGCTGGATGCGCAGCGGACCTCAGAGCAGCAGCCGGCTGAGATGCTTCAGACTGAGGTGGAGCTTCAGGGTGAGGTGGAGCTTCAGGGTGACGTGGAGCAGGGTGACGTGGAGCAGGGTGAGGTGGAGCAGGGTGAGGCGGAGCCCCGGACATGTTTTGGATTTTTCGTTTGATGGTTTTCATGTGTTGTGCAAGTCCAGTCAGGCACTTAATCCAAGTCTAAACTTAAGTGACTGCAGAGCACATCCGCTCCAAGTGGAACCAGTTCGTGGCTGAGCTCCCCACTTGGTGGAGCCACCTGAAGGTCAAGGGCTCCGGATCCGTTTCAAGCTCTCTCAAGTGACAGGAGAGGTTCCTTTGACCGACTGCACAGCTGACAATTGCAACACCCTGGCAAAAGAAGATTCGCTGTTCTAGAAGTCTGCAGAGAATCCAAAGACCGAAGCCCTGGTGTGTCACAAAAAGCTGAGGTCGGTTGCCTGGGCCGATGGTTCGCCTTCGAGGCCTGTTGCCAGGGTCACAGCTTCCACAACGAAGTCCCACAATAACAAAACCATCTGCTGAAGCCCAGCTGTCGACTGAGTTTACACTTCACAGTCACATCATCTGTGCAGCTGCCCTGTGTGTGTGTGTGTGCTTGTGTTGCATCGAAGTGTTTTTGGGTTTTGTGCTTTGGGAGAGGTACAGGAGAGGTCAGGTACTACGGGAGAAGGTAAAGGGGGAGAGTGCTGCGGCTGTGTGCTTGCAGGAATATACATAGCGCAACCGGTTGCGCTTTGTGAGTGCTTGGGAATATACATAGCGCAACCGGTTGCGCTTTGTGAGTGCTTGGGAATATACATAGCGCAACCGGATGCGCTTTGTGAGTGCTTGGGAATATACATAGCGCAACCGGTTGCGCTTTGTGAGTGCTTGGGAATATACATAGCGCAACCGGTTGCGCTTCGTGAGTGCTTGGGAATATACATAGCGCAACCGGTTGCGCTTTGTGAGTGCTTGCAGGTTGCAGGTAAAGGGGGAGAGGGTAGCGGGGAGGGCACCGCCAACAAGCAAACAAATGTCCTCCAAACCCTAGACCCTAAACCTCAACCGAAAGAACCTTGCAAGCAAGCAGACTTTGCCCCTTTTTTTCCCTCGCAAGCGAGTTGGACTTCTGAATCTTTGTGTGTACATCACTACACAAATTTCATCCATGAAAGTCATGGTATTCAAAGCAAGTCGAGGCTTGCAGTGTCGATTCCGGGGTAAGAGCTTAAGGTTTGAGGACATCTGCCACAGTGGTTTGATTCAGGAATAAACTGCAACCCTCGCACTCACACGCCCCGGGCAGCAAGCATATCATTAAAGACAGTGACATGCTGCCAAGTCCATGTCGGCTGGCAGGCGAAAATGTCCTCGGCCATTGGCAAAGACAGCTCAAGGAACTTCTTCAAAGCCAGCACCCAGCGGCACAAACGGTAGAAAACCTTTCGGCTGTGACGACAGTAGGATCCTGCATCGTAGACGAACATCAGGAATCCTTCTGTAAAATCGCCCGCATTCTTGTCGTCGCTACGACCCTGCATCTCACCTGGAAGGAGGACCACCATGCCGAAGTACCAGAACCAGTTTCCTGGAGAGAAACGATTTCCAGCCTCAGGGTTCTCACGGTGGAATTCCATCCACCGATGGTGCCAATGCTTGATCGGCGTTCCCAGTGTCCAGCTGGCTCGGTACTCATCCATGAGCAACTCCAGGAAACTTTGCTCCTCAGACAGCGTTGTGTAAAGCTGAACCAGCAACTGGTGCAGCTCCTCTCTTGCTGATGGCAGCTCGTTAAGTTCCACCAGAGGCTGCTGAGCCTTTCCGGCCACGGCCATTGGCAAGTTGGGACAGTCAGACAAACAAGGACTGCAGTGGGGCCAAAATTGCTGCAGAAAACACAATGTCTAATCTCCAGTGTAACAAGAATGCTCTTGTAAACTGTGTGGAACTAAAAGTCCAAAGCCCTAAGACGGCCCGCCTTCATTTCTTTCCAGAAGCAGCCCCTTTAGTGCATCCATGTCGAGTAGTAGGTGCATGTTTCAGCATAAAGCGCTCCTTTAACTTCAGCACTAAGCCTTAGTCACTAAGCACTCCTTCAAGCCACCCTCTACCCCCTGTCTCGGACCTCCAAATGTGCCAGTGCTCCACGGTTTCCAGGCACGCCAGCGCACCACCATCATGTCCAGGGCCTAGCAGGCTTTGCAAGTCCAGGGTTTAGGGTTTAGGAGTTAGGTTTAACGCTTAATCAACTCTCCTAATCAACCTTCCTAGAGCCTTAACACTTTGAACCTTCCTAAAGGTTTAGGGTTTGGGTTCGGGTATCGGTTTGGGTATCCAAGCCTGGGCATCGATTTGTTTCGGGTTTCTTGGGTATCGGGTTTTGTGGGTTTGGGGTTTGGGTATCGGTTTGGGTATCGAAGCCTGCAGTTGTTTGTTTCGAGTTTCGTGGGTATCGGGTTTTGTGGGTTTGGGGTTGGCCTTCTCAGGCTGCGCCGCGAGGCGCAATGCCTGGTTTCCTGGGTATCGGGTTCAGTGGGTTTGGGGTTTGGGCTTCTGAGGCTGCGCCGTGAGGCGCAAAGCCTGCAGTTTGTTTGGAGGGTTGTGGGTTTAGTGTTGGGGTTCTCAGGCTGCGCCTCGCGGCGCAAAGACTGCAGCAAATCGCCAAAGGGTTCAAAGTTTAGGCCTTAGGTTTAAGGTTTAGGTTTTAGGTTCTAGGAGGGTCAATTTAGTTCTCCCCTAGATCCTAAACCCTAAGCCCTATACCTGGTAGACTTCCAAAAGGCCTCTCTTGATGTTTAGGGTTTAGTGTCTAGGAGGGTTCGAAGGTTAAACCTCAACCTTAAATCCTGTACCCTGAAGGAGGGGGGGGGGTTAGGGTTCAGGATCTAGGAAGGTTCTAGGAATAGGAAGGTTCCTCTAGTGTTCAATGCCAAACCCTCACCGTAGCAAACAACCGCAGGCTTTGTGCCGGGAGGCGCAGCCGGATGAGGAGGATGAGGAGGAGCGCACAAGTAAGCTTTGGTGGAGGAAAAACGGTTAAGAAGCAAGCAAATGGCCATAAAGCTTACTTACCAAAGGGGTTGCCTATAACCCAGAAGGGTTGCCCCTAACACTTGAAATGGGTTTCGGATTGCTTCATTGCCCTGCTTTAAATGGGCCAGGGCCCAGGGTTGCTGAGGTTTTTTGGGGGGTGGGGGGGAGGGGAGAGTCAAGAAGTAAGCCTTCCCCAAAATGTTGACAAATCAGAATGTCACCGAGGTTGCTTTTTTTTACCCAGCCAATCCAGTCACATTAGTAAGCTTGAGGCCATCATAGGCCTGCATCCATGCACTTCCTTAATTCTTCACACGTTTGCGGAGTTCCTGGTCTATGTCCAAGCGAGCCCTTTTCAGCTTTGCTGTGGGCACCCTGGAGAAATCCGGCCAAGTTGATCCTTTGCTGTCCATCTTGTCACATGCTGCTTTGACATCTTTCAGAGTCAGACGTCCATATTTCAGGTGGACTTTCACAGAACCAGGGGCGTGTCGGGCAAATTTCATCGAAAGCGCTGTGGACATGCCATCTCCGAGCAACTCTGTAATCAATGTTGCCCGGCCACTGTGCGGGCGAAGCTTTGCCACCTCTGGCCCCCACTTTTGGCCCTGGTTTCGTAAATGCTCGAGAAATCTCGGAGCCAGTCGCTTTACCTGGGCATAGACTGCATGATAATGCAAGTGTGGCTGTTTGGCTTCTTTGCGACTGCGGAAAAGAAATCCTTCAGATGGGATTTCGTACTTATCTTGCCTTGTGATTGTCTTCTTGCGGCCCTTTCCGTGCTTGTGCTTCTTTGTGCGTTCTACAGTGTAACCAGACTTGAAGACTGATTTCAGCCAGCACATATGCTTCTTGCGGCAGTAGACCTCCCCCGGAGATTTCCGGTTCCCCTGTGTCTCGCCAGTGACAACAAGCTTTGGTATGTCACCATGGAAACTAAAGTCACTTCTCTTCAAAGTGAGAGCCTCCGAACATCGCAAGCCAAACATGTAGGTCAAGCTGAGTATCATGGCCATGCGCGCACCAGCTTCCTGCCCAACAAATTTGATCCACTGAGCCCATGTGCTCACTGACAGGGCCGGCGCCTGTCCCAGCTTTATGCCCTTGCGCGACTTTTTCTGGCCAGCCATGGCAGTTGGAAGGATGATGTAGGACTAATATCTACCTAGTTCTATGTGTATGTCATACTGTTCGTGTGTCTGTTTGTTCTATTTCCATGTCAGATTCTGCTGAGCTGCTCCACTTTTTTTTGCTGGCCGACAAGAGACCTAATGCCAGGCATGTTCAGGAAGTGTATGCAATGGGGTAAACATAGGCAACGGTTCTAGCAACACATACTGGCATGTCCGGGCCAACCAGGGGTCCCAAAGCCAGCCTCCAGGAGCAGGATTTGCAGCGCAGTGCGGCAAATGGCCAATGCCTCATTGAGTGGTGAGAGTGCTTCCCAAGAAAGGCTAGCTTGCGGTGCTTCAGGGATCTCAGGTTTAGGGGGCCTCCGACAGGCCACTTAAGAGTCAGGGAGTGCTTGCAGACAGTGCATACATTTGTGACTCTCTAGTGGTTGCTTAAGGTCGCCCAAGATCTTGGCCACTTGGCAGCGCGGCTCCCCAGTCAGGCCTTAGCAGAACACAAGCTAAATTAGGGGCAGGGTTTAGCTTGTAGTTGGTTTAGGGTTGGGGTTAGGGTTGGGGTTTAGGGTTTAGGGTTTAGGGTGTGCCGCAAGGCGCAGCTTGAGAAGCAATATTCGGCAGGCATTTGAGCTGAAAGGCTCGGCCTTGAAACCCTTAGATTTTAGGGTTTAGGGTTTCGTGTTCCAAAAAAGCAGGTTTTAACTGCATAAGGCCAGTCGGGGATTTGCCTTGTTTCTGGTTCATGTAGCTGGTGCCCACAGGAAAAAGAAGGGCCCCTAGCCTGGTACCCTAGTCCCAACCTGAAGCCCCTAATGGAGCAGCAACACAGCAGGGACGCTACCTTGTGTGCGGGGCGTGCGGGCACACCTCCACTGCCTTCGTGCCGAAGTCAAGCACCACCGCATCAGCAGCCCTCCCCGAACGCTCCACAGCCTTGGCCTACGCAGCTGGCGGCTTGACCAGTTTACTTCGATTCGGCAAGCCTGGAACTTGGCCTGCGCTACCCACCGGGGTGCCGCCGACCCCAATGCAGGCGTTGCGCACGTATGTGCTGGCGGCTTGAAGAACGCTCCGCGACATCGTGGCCGACATCATCATGACACACCCTAAACCCCAAACCCCAAACCCCAAACCCCAAACCCTAAACCCTAAACCCTAAACCCTAAACCCTAAGCCCTAAGCCCTAAACCCTAAACCCTAAACCCTAAACCTTAAGTAAGGGCAGGATTTTTTTAGGGTTTTGGGTTTCCTTAGGCAAGCAGTTGAGGCAATAGCTGAAAGCCACATTTAACCCGGGCCAGGTGTGTTGTTTGGGCTTAGGCTTGGGTTGGCTTTGGCCTTTGCGGCTTCTTAGGGCAAACCCTAATTAAATATGTTGATGTGGCAAACATGAGGTAGATTCCCGGGCCTTTAGTGGTGTCCAATCTCTCAGGCATGACCAGCTCCCAACCGGATGGCTCGACAGATGGATGGTCGAGTTGGACGATCAGGCCCTTCTGTGTTACCCTGGTGTCCCCTTCACTTCGGTTTAGGACCCTAAATGGCCCTCTCCCTACATAATAAACCCTATATAATAATTCAGCGAATCTCCATCGTCCATTGTTTAATGCCAATCCCCCAAAGACATCATTTCAACCCCAAAGCCTTGAACAATGAGACCTTGTTCCCCCCGACATGAACCACCCTAAACCCTAAACCCGAACCCTAAACCCTAAACACCAAACCCTAAACCCTCAAGTCCGAACGTTCTGCGGCTGCCGGAACTTTTGGGTATTCGCACTCCAGCCTCCGGGGGAGCTGGGACCCTCAGCCGCGGTTTGGTCGGACGTCAACACGCCGTCGTCCCCATCCAGAACGATTTGCCCAGTGCGGAGCTGCACTCGGGGCAAGACCTGGGATTTCACTTCTGAAACCCATCTCGGGTCACATCTTCGCCGACAGCGACCTCCAGAGTTCACAGTCGAGATGCTGACAGTGGTTCTCGCGTAGAGCTCACCTTCCCCTGTGCCACTGCTGCTTCTTTCTCTCTGGAATCTCTTTGCGAATCGGAACACTGCTGCTGCTCCTGATAAGCCCCACCCTAAGTATAGGCTGCAGGTTAGGGGGTTTAGGGTTTAGGGGGGGGGTGGGCCCGATCTGAATCGGAATTCGGCTAGGCTGGTTGTTGTGGTTTAGGAGTCCGGGTTCGATAAAGAACCAACTTCGGTTACCCTAAGATGCTTCTCTAGGTTGCTACTCTTGTTCTCCGTGTGTGCACTGGGTTCCTTCAGAACATCAGTGGTTCAGGAATTTGCTGGTAGCCTGGGGTAGCCACGATGGAAAGCAATGTAGTGGTTGAGATTTGGTATTCTGAAGCTTGCAAGCCTAAGTACATGAAGCACTATCAATGAAGCCGGAGCCAGCCTAAGCTAAAAGACAATGAAGCCGGAGCCAGCCTAAGCTAAAATACAGTCCCAACGACCCTACAGTAAATTTGAGCACAAGAACACAAAGATTGTGAACCTACGTTCGGCCATCGATCTTCCCAGGCGCTCTGTGGATCGAGGGCTCCCAGGCGCTTCCCACCACGAGCCCCTAATTCCTGAAACCCTGTACCCTTCAGCAGAAAGCCTAGATAAACTCAGTAGCCTGCAGGGTTTTAGGGTTTGACCTGCACACAGTAATGTGCTGAAATCCGAGACACACACTCACTGGCATTCCCCAAGCCCGAGCTACCCTAACCCCCTCAATGGTTCATGCAGCCTACTCCCCCAGCCGAATTATTGCGTTGGTTCCTGAATAAGATACGTTTAGGCTCTTCTGGTGAGTTTATGTTAACAACAAGTGCGGGCATGTTGCACATCAGTGAAAGGTGAATAAGGCCTGGTTTGCTTGGTTGCATCGTCGCGTATGACACAGGGGCTCGAGCAACAGCTCAACCAGGGGTGTCCACAAATTGCAACATGTTCCAACCATAGTGCTATGACCCTTCCTGCTGCCACCAGGCCACTCCACTTGGCTGCTTTCAGTGTTCTGTTACATTTTTTACCTCGCTCTAGAACCTAGACTTCCTCAGCCATGTCCGCTGACAATGGGGAGACAGTGAGCATGGTGTTGCAGTATGCAACTGTGAAGTCAAGGATTCCGAGGCTGTTCCAGCCTAATTTCGGACTGCCTCTCATGGGGACGGACAGACCAGACAAATCCCGCATGGAGAGAGTCAAGTGCTGTGATCGAGGCTCCCTGATCGCTTCTTTGTCAACTGGATCTGCCAAGGTGAGTTTCCATCCGCCAAATCACTGTCGCCTCCAATTCACAGTTTTGCAGACCATGATGACCGACAAAGGGCGGCAGTGGCTTCTGTCCCACCGCAGCTCGAAGCACACAATTTTTGTGGAGGAGGTGCTGCAGATTATCATGACACTTGACTTGCAACAGGGTGCCGACCGCAAGGTGCAGATTTCCATGAGCCTCATGTCCGGCCAGGTCATATCGACTGTGGAAACAGAACATTCCATGCGACTTTATGAGCTGCGTAGAGCCTTGTTCCAGCATGTTTCTGCATTCAGCCGATTGGAGAAGGAAACCATGAAGTTTTGCACGACCAGCGGTCGTATGGTTCACCTGCGTGGATCGGCCACTGTGCATAGTCTCTTAGTGAACCCGCTCAAGAGACCTCGTGCGAACTGACTTTGGCTGTCAAGAGGGGCTCAGAAAGTGGGGCTAACAAACACTGCTTTCACACATGCAGACACCAGATATTGACAGATGATATGTAGTGTTGTGACATTTCTCGCTGCATTGCTGGCAGAGTGCAAGAGATATTGACAGATGTGCTAGTCTTGTGATGTTGCAAGTTGCATCGCTGGCAGGGTTTTGTTGCTCAAGTTGCTTTGTGGTTTCACCTGTTGGCAGCATGATTGCTGAAGGGGTCATGTCGGCCTTTATGACCGGCAAACGGCCTTTGGACGAGGCTGAAGAACCTGCAGCTGCTTACAAGGCACCGAAGAAGCTAGCCCCGAGAAGCATCAGGTTCACTATGATGCAGGAGGAGGCATCAGGTGAGTCGAGTCCGGAGCCACTGTCTCCGAGCCCTGAAAAGTTATCGGCGGTGAACGACGATTTGTTCCAGGGCAGCAAGGTGAAGGAGTCCAAGTCCGACTTGTTAGAGGGTGAGGTGAAGAGCGATTGGTTCCAGGGCGGCGAGGTGACAGACTTGTTCGAGTGTCTGGACAAAGCCCTTGGGAGTGACCTTCCACTGTGCGTTGAAGATGGCCCAGTGCAGCAGCTTTACAGTGGGCCAGTTGTCATGGGAGCCAAGGTCGCCTCCCCACAGGGTTCTTTGCAAGCAGCCTCACCCCACCAGGGTTCTTCGGCTGCACCCGCACCTTTGGCTGCACCCGCACCTTTGGCTTTGCAAGCAGCCTCACCCGACCAGGGTTCTTCGGCTGCACCCGCACCTTTGGCTGCACCCGCACCTTTGGCTTTGCAAGCAGCCTCACCCGACCAGGGTTCTTCGGCAGCAGCCTCACCCCAGCAGGGTTCTTCGGCAGCAGCCACACCTTCGGCTGCAACCGTTTCAGCTGTGGCAGTCTTGAAGGAGTTTCTGTCGGTTCCAGAGTCCGTGCAGAACTTCCACCAGAAGACACTTTGCAAGATTCAGCCACTTTTTTTCTGGGTTTAAGTATTCAGGCTTAGGGTGTTTTGTGCCGTACCTGATAGCCACTTCCCCCCCCCCCAAACCCCAGAACCTAAACTGTAAACCAAAATCCCTAAAGCTCATTCAAGGTGAGCTGCAAGGAAAGAATCCCTGAATGCTCGAAGCCCAAAGCAACACAACCAATTGCCAGTGCTGAGGAGCTGGACCGAGTACCCGAAGGACTGTTGCAGCATCCAGGTCTTGGTGCACAAGCGGGCCTTCTTCATCAACAAGGTTGCCAAGACTCACAAGGACAAGGCAGGAAGGATGTGCTCTACAGCAAAACCCTATCCCTAACTATACCCTAGCCCATAAGTCATAGCCCTGTATACCCTCTCGAGCATGTACAGCAAAACTCTGAACAGGTGAAGACCAATGCTTCCGGAGCCTACCATTTGGGTTGGGGGAAGTTTCTTGACCCTGTTTGAAGAGAAGCAAGCAAGCTAGCTTTGCAGCAAGTTTTTTTCTGCTTTTCAAGAACAGCTAAGGTACCAGAGCCTTCGAGAAGCTTGGGCGGAGGCAGTACGCCTGGGCAAGGAGTGAGGCTGATTTGATGGGCTTCCATTGGGGCAGCACCTGTGAGCGGCCGAAGAAATCTTTCCGAAGATGTCAGTGAAAATGAGGGAACCTTAGATTTTAGAAGGGCTTAGGGTGCAGGGTTTGCAGGCTCTGTGCCGCAAGGCGTAGCCTGATAAGTAAGATCACACAGGCATCAGCCGCTCACTCGCTTGCTGAAAGCAGGTTGTACACAGCAGAGGCAGCAGGGTATATAGCCGATCCCTAGCAGGGCCGACTAAGTCATGTATAAGCACAAGTTGAGACCTTGTATGTCCCTCTGGCTGTGCATGCAGGGTTAAAGCTGCCCTGTGATCCGATGAGGGGTTCTGTTGTGAAAATGCATTCCGAAGAGAGAAAAGATTGCCCTAGGCAAGGCTCAGCCTGAGAGTAAGATCACACAGGCATTGTGCTGAGAGGTTCACCTTCATACTGGATGGATCAAAGGTCACAACAGAAGCTCTTGGCCTCGTAGGGCTTGGGTGTTGAGCCGCAAGGCTCAGCTTGAGAAGTAAGGTTAGGCTGGTTTATGCTGAACGGCTCTGGAAATCTGAGCCGAAGGGTAGGGTCGATTGCCGTGCTTACTGCCACAACCAGAAGATAGGCTGGATTCAAAGACAAGGCAGTGCTGAAGTCAAGAGACTTCACTAGTTTCACGGTCCTGCCGCCACAGCATGCCCTGGACCGGCACCGGTTTGACGTGCGACAAGTGTGGCTGGGTTACGAAGGGTAGGGAGCAAAAAGGCGGCGCTGTGCATAGAGTTCCTTGGCTACAGTGTCATGCAATAACCGGTAACCAGACATGTATATAGTAATATATAATGCGGCTTGCAACATGTCGTTGAGAGCAGTCCTCGTTCCCCTGCCAGGTGCCAGACCAACCATGGAAACGGCCACACCTGTGACCCCGGCAACTTTGGTCTGGATATGGAGCGGTGCAGGGCGCTGAAATCCGAATGGTGGCAGCCTCCGTCGAGTCCCCCGTTGGATTTGCAGTTAGGACAGTTAGGAAGGCCCCACCACCGATGCCTCCAACGGATGATCTGCCCACGGCCTCGTCAGGCTCGTCAGGGGCGGATTTCCAAAGGCTCGAGATGGAGAGCAAGATTGACAAGCTAGACCGCAAAGTTGACCGTCTGATCGAACTGGTCGGCCGCTTGGAGATTCAGCAAGGGTAAGGAGTTCAAAAGGTCGAGAGCAAGATCGAAGCGGCTGCTGTAACAGCACAGGGGTGTTGTACATATATACAGACTTGGAAGCGAGGGCAAGCAGCACCGCGGGCCGGAAAGTTAGAACATCCGCGGCCCTTTAAAGAAAGACCTGAAGACACAAGACCGCCCAGGCTCCGCTGTCTGGCGGTGGTGGTGGTGGTGGTGTGTCCGGGGCCTGTGGCGTCATGCAAGTGCCCTGCCGGTTTTAGTCCCCAGCCCTTCTGGTGCAGTGTGAACTAACTCAGCTGAAGAGGCAATGATGTTGAGCAGCTGTGTGCTCAAGTGAAAAGCCTTCACTAGTGTCACGGTCCTGCCACCACACCATGCCATGGTCCGGCACCGGGTTGCAGTGCGACTTGTGTGGCTGGGTTACGAAGGGGAGGGTCGATTCCCGTGCTGAGTGCCATGCCCTCAGGATAGGCTGGATTCAGCAAAAAGGCGGGATGACCCTTTGCATCGAGTTCCTTGGCTACAGTTTCATGCAATAACCGGTATCCAGACATGTATATAGTAATATATATATATATATATATAATGCGGCTTGCAACATGTCGTTGAGAGCAGTCCTCGTTCCCCTGCCAGGTGCCAGACCAACCAGGGGAACGGCCACACCTATGACCCCGGCAACTTTGGTTTGGATTTTGATGCGTGCAGGGCGCTGAAATCCCAATGGTGGCAGCCCACGCCGACGCCGAGTCCCCCAAACAGCACACCAGGGCCCAGCGTTGCTGCAGGGGCGAGCGTTGCTGCAGGGCCGAGCGTTGCTGCAGGGCCGAGCATTGCTGCAGGGCCGAGCTTTGCTGCAGGGCCGAGCATTGCTGCAGGGCCGAGCGGCCCAAGGACAGTTGTCAGGACGAAGGCCCCGCCACCGAGTCCTCCAACGGATGATGGTCCCACAGCCTCGACCTCGTCAGGCTCAGCAGGGGCGACGGACGTCCGGAGGCTCGAGCAAAAGATCGACGAGCTGGACCGCAAAGTGGCCCATCTGATCGATCTGGTCAACCGTTTGGGGTTTCACCAAGGGTAAGTGAGGGCAAGCAGCGCCGCGGACCAAAAAATAAAAAACAATAAAGTTTAAACTGTCCGATATTCCATGTCTCGCGTTGCTGCGAAACAGAAGGAGGCCCTCTATTTTTGTATAGAGTATCGTGTTGTTGAACGAGCTCCCTGTACACACCAACCTTTTGGAGTTCGGCAGCAAGCAAGGAGGAAAAAAAAGCTACAGCCAGCGTTTCGAAGAAACATGTGCATGCCGGCAGCCAGCGAAATTCCATGTGATCGCTGTTTCGAGTGGTATATAGCCCTGCCTCGGCTCAGGACCGATCGTGTGACCTTGCTCCAGTTCCTCGCAAGTGACCCGAACGCTGCTTGCCATGTTTAGGGTCGGCCTAAACCTAAACCCTAAACCCTCAACCCTAAGCCCTAAACCTTGCACTCCTGGCACAATCCCCGGCCCTTTAAAGAAAGACCTGAAGACACAAGACCGCCCAGGCTCCGCTGTCTGGTGGTGGTGGTGGTGGTGTGTCCGGGGCCTGTGGCGTCATGCAAGTGCCCTGCCGGTTTTAGTCCCCAGCCCTTTTGGCGCAGTGTGAACTAACTCAGCTGAAGAGGCAATGATGTTGAGCAGCTGCAACAGTGCTCAAGTCGAAAGACTTCACTAGTTTCACGGTCCTGCCGCCACCGCATGTAGAGGTTTGGACCATTACTCATGTGAACTTGTGATCAGAGAGCAAGCAAAATGTAGAAGCAAAAATAGCACAGGGTTTGCATGTCTCAGAATTTTAACAGTAGACAGTGAGCTAGTGATCATGGTCCGACGCAGAATTGTCACTTGCAGCAGCAGCAGCAGCGAGGAGGAGGACCGCGTGGATGGAGACATCGAGGAGGACGCAGTGGATGGCGTTGATGCAGTCGACGAAATTTCTGGAGTGCCGAACCCTCGTCCCATCCACCCAATGGTGCCAAGGGCACCGGCGGCGCTTGGGCCTCCCCCGCCCACACCGTTCAACCAGCCGATGGCCCCTCCTGGCCCAGCAGCTGGCCCAGGACCAGTTCGAGGCCCTGCACCTGGCGGCCCTCCTCCACCGACTCTTGGCTTTCTGTTGGCTGGCTTTTGGGACTTCAACTCTTTTTTTTGAACAAGGAACCTACAAGTTAAACTTTAAGGAGGGGTTCAGAAGTCCCCGACTCTTGGCTTTCTTCTGGCTGGATCTTGTGACTTAAAC